GCCCGATGCTGTCATGAAGGCCGTGGCCTGTTTGTCGTGTTCGGCCATCGGGATCTGATTGTATCCCGAGTATGCGTCCATGAAGGACAAGAGTTTGAAGCCCGCCGAGTTGTCGACGAGCTTGTCGATGTTGGGGAGGGGGTAGGCGTCCTTAGGACATGCCCGGTTGAGGTCAGTGTAGTCAACACACATGCGCCATTTTCCATTATTCTTTTTAACAAGTACAACGTTGGACAGCCAGGTGGAATACCGGGCTTCCGAAATAAAATTTGCCTCTAAGAGGTCTTTTACAGCTTGTTCGGCTGCTGCCGATTTTTCTGGAGACTGGCGGCGACGGCGTTGCACCACGGCCTTTGCGGTCGGGCTGATGGACAGCTGGTGGCAGGCGACCTCAGGGTCGAGTCCCGGCATTTCCGCGGCGCTCCAGGCGAAGAGGTCAGCATTCTCGCGGAGGCAGGCTTGGAGCTGTCGTTTCGCGAGGTCGGGGAGTCCTGCGCCTACCCTTACGGTTCTGGTCGTGTCGTCCCCGAGGGGAATGAGCTCGAAATCGCCATCCGGGATGGGGCGCGCTGGATGCTCATTGGCCGCGTCAGTCTTTTTATTGTCGAGCTCGTCGGTGAAGCGACTGTCGAGCTCAACTGATCCGACCAGCTCTGTTGGCTTGTCCTTTGGCGTAGCGCTCGGTGCTTTCCTTTTGGTCGGTGGAGCGATGGAGTCGAAGCCTTTCAGCGCGGCTTCAAAACACCTTCGGGCAGCTTCGATGTCGCCGTTGAGGGTGACCACGGCTCCCCTTCTCGTGTAATATTTCATCTTCAGGTGGGCGGTGGAGGGTACCGCGGTGAGTTCTGCTATCGTTGTCCTGCCCAGGATGCAGTTATACAGGGACGGGCATTCGATGACTAAGAAGCGGATGCTGATGTCTCTGGCCGTTTCCTCTTCCCCAAAGGTGACTTTCAGTTCCACGTATCCCCAGGGTCTTGTCGTCGTCCCGTTGAACCCCTGGAGGTCGGAGCCTACGTAGGGGGAGAGGTTGGACTCGTTGAGCTGGAGAGTTGTGAACAAATGTGAGTACATTATGTCAACCGAGCTCCCTCCGTCGACGAGGAGGCGCCTGACGTCGAAGTTTGCCATACGTGCGCGTATGAGCAAGGGTATGTTGGAATTGGGAGATCCCCCGGGTAGTTCCTCGAGGTAGAACGTGATCGGGTTGGAGCGGCCTCGGAATCTGTCGAGCGTGCTCATCTTGCCGGAGTTGCCCGCGATGAGTTCGTCGAATTTCCTTTTCACAGATCCTATGGACAGACTCCTCGTAGCGCCATCAGAGATGACCATGGCTCTGGGGAAGTATTCCCATCGGCTGGTTGGTCGGATTGGCTCGCCGACTAAGCTGGGTGCTTCGGGGATGTCGAGTCCTCTGCTTGCGAACCAGTCCTCGGGGCGGCTGACGCACAGCGCGACCTGGAGTCTCTCACCGTCTTCTGGGCAGGGGAGCTCCTCGATTTTCTTTGCCTCCGGGGCCTCCGATCTGGGTGGTTCACCTCCCCGGGTGTATCGCTTTAAGTGCCCATCTTTGATTAGGATTTCGATCGCATCTTTGAGATGGATGCAGTCTTCCGTTACATGCCCGTGGGTCCTGTGGAACCGACAGTACTTTGACTTGTCCACGTTGGGTTTGGGCGGCGTTGGTCGTGGAAAACGGACACCTCCCTGCACAAACTCGGTTTTAGCGCATTCGGCCAGTATGCGTTCGCGGGAAGCGACCAAGGCGGTGTACTCGGTGAACCTTCCTGCCGGGCCGCGCGACTCGCGCTGTTCGCGGGGTTCGCGGTGGCGGTCATCCCGACGGCGGTCCCCTCCTCGCCGGTGGCTCGAAGCTCCGTCGTCTCGGTGCCCGCGGGGGGCTTCTCTGTCTCGGGTGTCGCGGGCGGAGTTGGCCGCTTGTGTTTCCTCGAACCGGATGTAGTGGGCGGCCCTGTCGAGGAAGTCTTGGAGGGACGTGGGCCGGTGTATGCCCACGGCCTCGTAGAATTTGGAGTCATGGCGTAGGCCTTGCTCCATTAAGTAGCGTTTCATTTCGTCGGAAGTCGTCACCTGTACGGCTTCCCGAGTAAATCTTTCGATGTATTTCCGGAGGGGTTCGTCGGGGCCTTGGATGATCGCCCCGAGGACTGCTTCCGTCTTCGGGTGACGCCGGGACGCTGTGAAGTGTTTGGAGAATAGGTCCTTCAAGACCCTCCACGATGTAACTGATTCGGGCTCCAGGCTTTTGTACCAGGTCATAGCGCCTTTCCTCAGAGTCGTCGGGAAGAGTCTGCATTTGATAGCTCCCCGGACATTGCGGTAGTCGAGCATGGCCTCGATGTCTTCCAGATGATCGTCCGGGTCGGAGGTGCCGTCGTACGTTGACAGCGTCGGTGGCTTCTCCATTCCTTGGGGTATAGGGGCCGCCATGATCTCCCGGGATAGTGGGGTGCGGTAGTCATCCTCGTCGCTGTGCGCCGGGGATCTCAGGGGGGATGAGCCGATCGCGGTGTGTCCCGGGTTTCGGGCCCTCGATCTCCGGCCTGTGCTCCCGCCTCGGGTTTCCTCGGTTGGGGTCGCCGCGGCGTTCTGGTTCCTCCCGCGACCGTGTCTTGCCGGGGATCTGGTGCGCTCCCGTGTCGCTTGGGGGCGGCGTCTCTCCAACCGCGGTCGGCGGTTCCTGGGTCGAGGTGAGGGGCTCCTCGAACCTCCGTTCTGGTCTTCCCGCTGGGGGTACCTCGGGGAGCCGCCGCGTTCCAACGCTCCAATTCTAGCGTTCTGTTGGGACAGCAGCTGGTTCGTCTGGTTGATGGCTGCAAAGAGGGCGGCTACCGTGGGGTCCGCTCCCGCCGGGATGGGAACGGGGTGGAATGCCGGCGGGCTCGGGGGGCGATGGTCGGCATGCAGGGGCCTTTCCTCGGACGATGGTGAGGCAGTTTGCCCGTCTCTTTCGTCGGCTTCATTCAGGCGCGCCGTTCCTACCTGCTTCCCGTTGGTGGCAGTGTTGAGCGCGAGATCGTGCGGAGTGTCATCGCGGCGTGGGCTGGCCATGACCGTGGAGGTTTGGTGAAACTTTTGGTTTTTCTGCTCGGAGTAACGGGGAAGTTTCCGTTCCCACAGACGGCGCCACTGATCTGACCTGATCAGGAGGGATCACGGACTGGCCACGCTTCGCCGGACGGTTATCTGTTCGCCGAGGTAAGAACGAGGAGGGGGTGTACCTGCAAAGCACTCCGACGCCCAAGTAAGAAGTTGGACTGAGAGGAAGCAATAGTACAGAAAAGGGGGCAAGAAGAGTTACCTGACCCTCTTGAAGAAGAGGGTATTTATAGAGAGACCCCAGCGCTGGGCCAACGGTCATTCGAGGTGGGCCAGACGACCAGGCCCAACCCTAATGACTGCTAGGGCTTACGTGGCGTAGTGAAGACCAGGACGTGGTCTTCGCCCTAGTTCAACCGCTCCTAGGTCTCCGGAAAGTGGGTTTGACCTGCTCTTTCGGAGGTGGGCGGTTGGCCGATGACGTGTCCCCGCGGAGGGGAGCACGTGGAGAACGTGCGCCGAGCACGTTATTCTCCCGCGGAGGGAGCCCGGGTAGTCTCGCTCGTCTGGTGTGACGGACGACGAAGGGGATGCGGCGTGATGGCTTGTGCCCGGCGGACGGTCCTGCTCGTCCGAAGGGGCGTGTGCCAGGTGTGCTCAGTTCGCCTGTTGGGCCGTATTTGGTATTGGGCCTGCCGAGGTGAGGCCCACACCGGAACATATATATTATTTATTAGAGATAAAATAATGGCAAAAATATTGTATATATTTTAACATAACAAATTTGTTCTTTAAATTTTTTTTATAACGCTTTGATCCTTTATGTTAACAAACGGTTTGCGTCATTGCTCTTTTTAAAAAATTTAGTTATAAAAATGCATATGTGACACAAATGAAACACATGTGGCATTTAACTTAAGTGAGTTGACATGGAAGGTTGCTAATTTGACTTTTGTCTTGTTGTTTCTTATATTTATGGATTTTAAAACTCTAAAACTCAATACATTTCAAGAACACTCTGAGCTCATAAACACAAAAATGACAAAACTCTGAATTTCAACAATAAATTGCAAACTCATATACCATTTGAACTGGTTTTTTGCGCTGATTACGAATATGTAATTAGTTTTACATTTGATTGTGTATTCTAGTCGGATCGAATGATTTTTATTATGTATTTCGTCCACTTTTTTTCTTGATTCTCATGAATCATTACTTGTTTGATAAATTCGATTGCATATTTGAATTCAAGGTGAAAATCCAAGACCAACAATATATAATTTGTAATTTATTTCATTGCTTTTGTGGTTTTCATATTTTTTTCTCATGAATATTGTTAAATATAATGAACATTTGTGAAAGTGATGAACATGTGTGAGCAAAATCGAAATTTAAATCCTGTCCTTGACTTAATCTGACATTATTTTTGTTTTTGTTTTGATTTTATAAAATTCCTCTTGCAGAACTCACAATAACTTTAATGTTATCTAGTATAAATCTTTTCATTTCTTGCAATTTATTGATTTACAATAAAAGTTTTAAAGATACTGATTTTACACAAGAAAAATTATGGAAGAAGGTGAAGAATTAATAAAAATCTAGAAAAAAATAAAAAATAAATAAAAATTCATGCAGAATTAAAAAATAAAAAAAAATAATACAGCATTTTAATTAAATGTCACATATGCTCCATTTAAGCCACGTATGCATTCTACAAAGGTTCCTTAATATAAAGGAAAAAAATGTTAAAAAAAACATAAAAAAACTAATTTTAAAATAACTAGATCAAGAGAATATTATTGCCAAAAATAATTGAATCTTTACTAGTAGAAATTTAATAAACGGCTATAACTAAACACTACATTTCTCAACCATTTAAAAAACTTGAACTGAAATACAAACTTTGTTGAGTCCAAAACCATAAATGAAAAAGCGTTTCAATGATCCTTAGCAGCAGCAGTGGCAAACTTAGCCGCAACACACTAATCTCTCTCATCAACAAAGCTTCCACCTTCCCTCACCTCGCTCAAACCCACGCTCAACTCATTCTCAATGGCTACCGTTTCGACATTTCCACCATCACCAAACTCACTCAAAAACTCTTCGACTTCGGCCGCACGCGCCACGCACGCGCCCTCTTCTTCACCGTTCCTAAACCCGACATCTTCCTCTTCAACGTCCTCGTCCGTGGCTTCTCCCTCAATGATTCCCCTTCTTCTTCCATTTCTCTGTACTCCCATTTGCGCCGCAACACTGACCTCAGCCCTGATAACTTCACTTACGCTTTTGCGGTTGCGGCTTGTTCTAACGAGAGCCACTTGATGTTGTTGCATGCTCACTCTATCGTTGATGGGTATGGTTCTAATGTTTTTGTTGGGTCCGCTCTTGTTGACTTGTACTGCAAGTTTTCGAGAGTTGGGTTTGCGAGGAAGGTGTTTGATGGAATGCCTGAGAGGGATACGGTTTTGTGGAACACTATGATTAATGGGTTGGTTAAAAATTGTTGTTTTGAGGATACTGTTGAGGTGTTTGGGGAAATGGTTACGCGAGGTGTGAAGATGGATTCGTCGACTGTGACTGCTGTGCTTCCTGCTGCGGCTGAGTTGCAAGAGATGAGAGTTGGGATGGGGATTCAGTGCTTGGCTTTGAAATTTGGGTTTCATTTTTATGATTATGTGTTGACTGGTTTGATGTCGTTGTATTCTAAATGTGGGGATGTGAACACGGCGAGGTTGTTGTTTGGGATGATTAGAAAGCCAGATTTGATTGCTTATAATGCTATGATTTCTGGGTTTACTTCCAATGGGGAGACTGAATGTTCTGTGAAGCTTTTCAGAGAGCTTCTTGTTTCTGGTGAGAAAGTTAGTTCGAGCACAATAGTTGGACTGATTCCACTGCATTCTCCCTTTGGCCATCTACATTTGGCTTGCTCTATTCATGGTTTTTGTGTGAAATCTGGTATTATTTTGAATCCGACTGTTTCAACTGCGTTCACTGCTATATACAACAAACTCAATGAAATAGATTTGGCTCGCCAGCTGTTTGATGAATCCACGGAGAAAACCGTGGTTGGTTGGAATGCTATGATTTCGGGTTACACGCAGAATGGTTTGACAGAGACAGCTATCTCTCTTTTTCAGGAAATGATGAAGACTGAATTCACTCCAAATGCAGTCACCGTCACAACTATCCTTTCAGCTTGTGCTCAACTAGGATCTCTAAGTTTTGGAAAATGGGTCCATCAGTTAATTAAAAGCAAAAATCTTGAGCCAAACATTTATGTCTCAACAGCTCTAATTGACATGTACGCCAAGTGTGGCAACATTTCGGAGGCTCGGCAATTATTTGACTCGATGAGTGAAAAAAATACTGTTACTTGGAATACTATTATTTTTGGTTATGGGCTCCATGGATATGGGCACGAAGCACTTAAACTTTTCAACGAGATGTTGCACTTGGGGTTTAATCCATCTGCTGTCACTTTTCTTTCAGTATTGTATGCTTGCAGTCATGCTGGCTTAGTAGGAGAAGGAAAGGAAGTTTTTCATACTATGGTTAATAAATACAGGATTGAACCCTTAACCGAGCACTATGCATGCATGGTGGACATTCTGGGACGATCTGGACAGTTAGAAAAAGCTTTGGGTTTTATAAAGGAAATGCCAGTTGAACCAGGTCCTGCTGTCTGGGGTACATTGCTTGGTGCTTGCATGGTTCACAAAGACACAAACATAGCCCGCTTGGCTTCAGAAAGGCTATTTGAACTTGATCCGGGGAGTGTAGGATACTATGTCTTACTTTCTAACATATACTCTGTGGAGAGAAACTTCCCAAAGGCTGCTTCAATAAGACAAGTTGTTAAGAAAAGAAAACTGGCAAAGAGTCCAGGGTGCACTCTAATTGAGGTTAATGGGACCCCCCATGTCTTTGTATCTGGTGACCGTTCTCATTCTCATGCAACAGATATTTATGCAAAGCTGGAGAAGTTAACGGGCAAGATGAAGGAGATGGGGTATCAGTCAGAAACAGCCCCCGCTTTGCATGACGTGGAAGAAGAGGAAAAAGAGCTTGCCTTTAATGTTCATAGTGAGAAGTTAGCCATAGCTTTTGGCCTTATTACTACTGAACCTGGTACAGAGATCAGGATCATCAAGAATCTCCGGGTTTGTTTAGATTGCCACACTGCAACTAAGTTTATATCAAAGATCACAGAAAGATTGATTGTAGTTAGAGATGCTAACAGATTCCACCATTTCAAAGATGGGATTTGTTCTTGTGGTGATTATTGGTGAAGCTAAGCTAATTTATTTTCACCAGTTAAAGTTATATGGGGCAAATCATTATTGAACCTTTTGCCTTCATATTAATTTGATCTGGAGCCTGAACCCTCATGTGACCCTCCACTTGAGTGGCACAATATTTCACAGCACTGGTTGAGCAAAGGAAGTTTTATCTATGATTTTCCTCATTGGGTCCATGGATAATCACATGCTTGGAGTTATATTTGCAACTAAATATATGTTCAAACTGGGACAGGGTAGAGTTGTGCATTGAAAAAAGTACCATAATTGTAGAAACATCTTTCGGAAAGGGGCATTTTCTTTTTATGGAGGCTGTTGGTGAAAACTCCTGGGGTGGAAGAATAGGCATCTCACATTTCATTTTAATAACATGTACACAAGTGAGGAAATTGAATGTTTTTTTTCCTGATATACTTGACAATACAAACACATTTATTACTTTTTGTACTCAAAATCAGATATCTGATCCCTCTTGCTGCCAAATATGAATCTATCATTTTAAGGATACTGAGATAGTGTCTTGATGATTTCTCAATGTGTTCCTGATTCTTAGCTTTTATCAATGAAAAGAAAATGTTTAAATTCACTTTTGTTCCCCTTTATCGTTGATTCCCAATTTTAGTCCCCACATTTCAAACCAAATAATATAGTTTCTCTGTTTTAAGATTTCAGAAATTTTCACCACCACCGAATTTGAGACTCATTTTCATTTAAGTGTCAAGTTGAATGATGTACCGTCAAGTCATAGTATTGTTTAAAATAATACCAGTAAAACTTAAAATAGAAAAAAATTAATTAAACCTTAAAAAATCAGATTTCCCAAAAAATAAGGATTGTCAGCTCATCATTCAGTGGTGTGGAAATTTTCAGAAATTTAAAAGTTCGAGGACTGTATTTCTAGATTAAAAAATGTGTGAACAAAAATTATAAATCAGGTCTACTTGGTAACAGAAGGACTATTTGGTGACAGAAGGACTATATTTCTATTTTCACTGTAAAAGACATAATATCCTGTCACATGAGGAAACAAAAGAAAGTTAATTTATTAGTTCACTTGTAAAAGACCCCTTTCTATTATCTTCTTCTTTGTATTTATTTACAGGGACAACAAATCCAGATTCATAAATTATTGGAATCTCGAAGACACTTCTGTTGTGAATCGGATACCTTTAAACAAAGTATAAACGGTTTCTTAATGATCAAGAAACACACAAGGATTATGGTTAATAAAGAAGACAAGGTAAAACAACAAGGAATAACAAAGGATTGGTTATTAAATTGCTATTCTTTCCTTTCTCTTAGAACAAGATTACAAGTATACAAGAATAACAAAATAACCTCTCTCCCTTGAAATTAGGATTTTATCTTCCTATTTTTCCTTATGCCAAGATTGAGAAACTAACATCCTATTTATAATAAAATAGCACACTAACCTAATGGGCTTTTTAACAATTACCCATTACAAGCTAACTTAGGGTACAAGCTAACTTAAACAATTAGGCTTACAAGCAAACTTAAACAATTAGGCTTACAAGCAAGACCCAATTCAACATGCTAACAACCCTAGCAATATTTACTCATGCTAACAATCCTAGCAATATTTACTCATGCTAACAACCTTAGCAATATTTACTCATGCTAACAACCTTAGCAATATTTACTCATGCATGTTAGAACAAACTTCGACTACAACACGCATTACTTGCGAACAGACTTCGACCACACTAGAGTTCGATCCAATGTCTCACAAATCTCCACCTTGGATCTAACTCTATAACATCAAGAAACTAGCTTTCTTCATTCAGATTTATTAACTGCATACAGTGGAAAAACTTGCAACTGGGCAATGTCTTGGTGATCATATCAGCAGCATTATGATCTGTCGAAACTTTCAGCACTTGGACTTCTCCACGCTCGATTACCCCTCTGATGAAATGCAGCCTCACATCAATGTGCTTGGTTCGCTCATGATAGGTTGAATTCTTCGACAGATGTATTTCACTTTGACTATCACATTTAACAGTGATAACTCGACCTTGAAGTTTTAGCTCCTTTGCAAAACCTTCAAGCCACACTGCTTCCTTCACAGCTTCAGTTAGAGCAATATACTCCGCTTCAGTGGTTGATAAGGCAACGACCTTCTGAAGTGTTGCTTTCCAACTGATTGTTGTTCCAAACATAGTGAACACATATCCAGAGATAGATTTTCTAGAATCCATACAACTTGCATAATCAGAGTCGACATATCCTTCAATTACTGCTTTACTATCTTCACCCAAGGCTCCACCATAAATTAGGACTCTATTCAGAGACCCATTTATGTACCTTAAAATCCACTTCAATGCTTGCCAGTGAGCCTTTCCAGGATTCGCCATGTACCTGCTTACAAGACTTACTGCATATGCTATGTCAGGTCTAGTACAGACCATAGCATACATCAAAGACCAATTTGTCTTCTTTTGATTCCTCATAACTTCCTTATAATCTATAGGTTCTTCGTCTAGAACCTCACTTGCAGAGATTAAGGCATAAGCTATAAGATCTGCATACCCAAGTCTCTGAGGTGGCTTGATGACTCTCCTCGACCTGTCTCTTGCTAGCAGGTAGTCATTATCAGTCTCCTCATCTTCGACAACATCTTCTGTGTCTTCTTCGACTTCATCTGAGGTAAGCAATTCAGCATCAACATGCTCCACCTCAACAGGAATCTCTCCCTGTTCCAGCTCTTCGTCAGCATCATCAGTTTTCTTGAAAGCCATCTCTACTTCGTTGAAAACTACATCTCGACTGGTGATACACCTCCTGTGACGTGGCTCTAGGCACCGTAACCTATAAGCTTTGACTCCTTCAGGGTATCCCATGAACATGCATTTCAGAGCTCTAGGTTCGACCTTGTCTTGCCTAATATGAGCATAGGCCACACAGCCAAATACTCTCAGTCTGTCGAGACTAGGTGGCTGTCCCGACCAAAATTCTTCAGGTGTCTTCATTCCCAAGGCAGTCGAGGGACATCTATTTATTAGGTAAGCTGCTGTCGAAACAACCTCCGCCCAAAACACCTTCAATCCAGCACTAACCAACATGCATCTAACCCTTTCAAGGATTGTTCGATTGAATCTCTCAGCTAAGCCATTTTGTTGAGGAGTACCTGCTACAGTCTTATGCCTTGCAATCCCAGACTCAACACAGTAACTGTCGAAAGCTTCGTTGCAGAATTCAAGGCCATTGTCGGTTCTCAACCTCTTAACCTTTCTGTCAGTCTGAGTTTCGACTAGAATCTTCCAACTTTTGAAATTCTCAAAAGTTTCATCCTTCGTCTTCTGAATGAATACCCATAGTTTTCTGGAATAGTCATCAACGATGGATAGAAAATACCTTGCACTTGAGTGTGAAGGATTCCTTGCAGGCCCCCAAAGATCAGCATGAATGTAATCCAGGGATCCATGTGTTCTTTGCTTGCCTTTGTTAAACTTCGCCCTACAGGATTTACCAAATACACAAGATTCACAAAATTCCAACTTTTCGACTTTGTCACCTCCTAGCAAGTTCTGCTTCCCCAATTCGACCAGGCTTCTTTCGCTGACATGGCCCAATCTCATGTGCCATAATTCTGTCTTCGACATAGATTTCGTGGATGCAACATTTGTCGAACCACTTACAACCTCAGCCTCAAGGGTATACAAGCCTTGTTTCTTCACGCCTCTCAAGACTTCCTTCGACCCCTTCATGACTCTTAGGATACTTTTCTCTCCTTGAAAAACATATCCTTTTCTGTCGAATTCACCAAGAGAAATCAAATTTCTCTTCAAGTCAGGTACGTACCTGACTTCAGTCAATAACCTTATTGACTCGTCATGGAGCTTGAATCTCACAGATCCAATACCTGCAATTTTGCAAGATTTGTTGTTTCCTAACAGCACAGATCCACCATCTTGATCACATAGCTCCTCGAACAATTCTCTGTTTGGAGTCATGTGCCAAGTGCAACCTGAATCCATAATCCACTCTTTCCTCGAGTCGCCACTTGAAACCACAAGAACATCAGATGAGTCGAAGTCATCTTGAACAATGGCTGCATTGTCATTACCTCCATGATCTTTCAGGCGTTCAGGGCACACCTTTCTTATGTGACCCTCCTTCTTACAGTAATAACATCGAATACTAGATGTTTCGCCACTATAAGACTTCTGTTGACTTTTACCTTTCTTCTTGTCGAACTTACCATCCTTTCGCAAGAATTTTCCCTTAACGGCCAAACCTTCGCCCACCGTCGAAGGTTTATGCTCCTTTCGTTCGTTCAAGTCCTTAGAATACAAGGCTGATTGAACTTCTTCAAAGGTCAGGGACTCTCTTCCATACAAGAGAGTTTCTTTGAAGTGAGCATGTGTTCTGGGCAAAGCACACAGCAGCAATAGTGCTTGATCTTCATCATCGATCTTCACATCAATATTTTCAAGATCAAGAATCAGCTTGTTGAACATATCCAACTGCTCAGCCAACACTTTGTCTTCACTCATCTTGAATGAATATAAAGCTTGCTTCAGGTATAGTTGAAACACACAAGGGTTATGGTTAATAAAGAAGACAAGGTAAAACAACAAGGAACAACAAAGGATTGGTTATTAAATTGCTATTCTTTCCTTTCTCTTTGAACAAGATTACAAGTATACAAGAATAACAGAATAACCTCTCTCCCTTGAAATTAGGATTTTATCTTTCTATTTTTCCTTATGCCAAGATTGAGAAACTAGCATCCTATTTATAATAAAATAGCACACTAACCTAATGGGCTTTTTAACAATTACCCATTACAAGCTAACTTAGGGTACAAGCTAACTTAAACAATTAGGCTTACAAGCAAGACCCAATTCAACATGCTAACAACCCTAGCAATATTTACTCATGCTAACAACCTTAGCAATATTTACTCATGCTAACAACCTTAACAATATTTACTCATGCATGTTAGAACAAACTTCGACTACATCACG